GTGGCAACCAAGTCGCCACAAAAATAACCACGCATCCTTCGCTGCAGCTGCAGAATACATACTCAACTCATTAACATCGTGGTCGCCTTGCCTCCCCCAAATCAGCTACCAATTTGGCACAAAGAACACCCAGTGTGGGCATCATAGCATCGTAAGGTAAAGTAGCACACTCCCTACCTTGCACAGCGCTGCATCCACCAACCTCGTATATACTTGCACTGGAGCCGCAGTCGAGCTTTTCTCATTCAAATCCAGCGGCGGCGGCAACGACCCCGACGTTGACAACAGAAACGCCCATTGCAGTGCCCTCGTTGTTGGTGACATGAAGCTGAGTCAATAGAGTGGAGTAAAGTGAAACACAACAACTCACTATGTGTAAACAACTTGAACGGGAAAGTGCACCAACTCCGACAAACAAATGCACTGTTCAGGCAGATCATTCAGTCGTTGTGCTGCGTAAATGTTGAAGAAGCACGAGCCCTCCTCCTGCCAATCATTGCGCAAATCAGCAACCAATTCCACCACCTACCTTCACCAGCCCCATCGACACCACATACTTCCTCGACTGCTCGTCATAGAAGGCCTTTATGCACACTATGTCAGCAACTAAAGCGCACGTCAGTAGACTGAGGAGAAAAGCTACCAGGAAGGTACATGAAATCGAAGGATTTGGTGGATGTTGTGAGACATTTGCCACCCGACTCAAAGGAGTAGAGATTGCAGCAGCGTGCAGAGGAGGAGGTCTCGCCACCGGGAAGTAGGGAGGATTAAGAGGGGATGTGGGTGAGACTGTTGTAATATATATTAGGTTGTTTAAGTGTACTTTTATAGGTGAGAGACGAATATCACTCGCAAACGGAAATCACGTGTGTGAATTCGGCGAGGAGCGTCCTTTTGTTTGATATCTCCAACTCAACTCATCTGTATCCATTTCCCATACTTTCTAATAGCAATGCCTAATAAAGCGTTTAGGCGGCTGCCAGACCGGTTTGGTCTCGCCAGTATCGAATCTGTGTTTTACTATGTTCGTTCGTCCCATTTGTGAGTAGTACTTCAGGGGTGAGTGCAGTTTCTTCCTCTCCACTTCAGTAACCTGTTTTAGTTGAACGCAGAGGTCGTTTAGATTGGTCCCGGGGATGGCAAGGGCGACGAAAAGGGATTTGCGTATATCATCTGCGTCTTTTTTTGGTTTAGGGATCGAACGCTTGGACCATCGGTGGGTTGTGAGCATACCTGTATCGAAGCTCATAACCACTCAGGACTGGCGTAAAAATTCGGCTCCTAACAGTACGTCCCAGGCTAGTTCTGGGCACAGCACGAAATTTACCTCCCAGATGCCATTCCCGATTGAAACTCTGATAGGTGCTTCTCCTATTACCGAACATTCTTTCCCTTCTGCAGAGCATAGTCTAGTAGCCGGTGAGGTAATTTTGGCCTTGCTGTATACCATGGGGAAAGCAGGGAACGGGCTGCCCCCGAGTTCAGAAGAAAGGAGCACGTGTGACCTTCTAGCTTGCCCCGTACACGCATAAAGGTAGAACATCGTGAGGGAGCTAGATAAGACAAAGAAAATTGTGCCTTATTGTGCATTGAGGGGCCGGTTCGGGACGCACGCCATTGCTCGCCAGTAGGGCGTTTATTGGGAGTCCGCGGGTGAATGAGAGCATTGAACTCGGTTGAGAGACGTAACTCCTGGCGCTTAGCTAGTACCGCATGGATTAGACGGTTTAATCTGCTAGTCTTTATCTACCCCATTTGTTATGTCAAAACAGGTGGACGCACATCCCTTTTGAACTGGGCCGCTATCCATGAGACAACCCGAAGGGGAGAACGATCTTTGAATGCCTGTTTGGCTAAGGCTTAGAGATTCCCCGCAAAGTCTTCATCACTTTCTCCCGGTTTTTGTAGCCGATGGAAAAAGTCTGAAGCCGAAAACTCTTCCTTCTGGAGGGATGTCAATTTGACAAGAACCTCACAGCAGTCTTCCATATCTGAGGAAAGCGAGACACCCACATCCATTGCTTCCCGACGTAGGTCAAAGGGCAAGGCGAGGAGTAGTAATGGCACTCGCCGAGCAGGTTCGTAGAGTTCGAGATCTGCCGTTGTAAAGAAAAGCCAGTTCTCGAAATCAGTGCCGACCAACGCTGCCACCAGTGTAAGAGCTGTCTGTCTACTCTCTGGTCCCTGGTCTTCAGGTTTCAAGAGGAAATTGGTCGCAGACGCTTTACTAGGCATTGCTATTTGAAAGTATGGGAAATGGATACAGATGAGTTGAGTTGGAGATATTAAACGGAGGGACGTTCCGCGCCGACTTCACACACGTGATTTCCGTTTGCGATTGATTTTCGCCTCTCACCTATAAAAGTATACTTAAACAAACTAATACATATTACAACTGTGGACAGTACCTTGACCCTTGATTTCCTTGTAGAAATTGAAGCCGTGAACAATAGAAGTGAGCGACTCTGTCATTAATGCCAGAATGCAGAAGAAGCCAACACACTGAAATCGCCGTTTACATAACCAGCTGTCCATCATCACACCCTTTGCAGCGTCTAATGCCAGCCAACAGTTTAGTCAAGCATGTGATTAACATGCTAAAATGTGGTTATTTCAATCGAACTTTTGCAATTTGACAATTTGACCGTTACTTTGGTATTCATCTAAACCTAATCCGCGTGTGCTGGTCTTCAAGCTAAGCCAAGATTTAATCCTTTGTTAGCTACATAGAATCCCAGCTTAACTTCTTTTACCAGATGGGAATTCTCGAGATGCTACTGTAATATATATAGAGTGTTTAGGTTTGCCTTCACAGAGGAGAGGAGAGAAGTTTATTTGAACGCGAATCCCATGTATGAGGATCGCGAAGATCCTCTCTCTGGATGGTGTCTGCTACTTTGTTTATGTGGTCACATGATGTTTGGTAGTTATTTTGGGCTTGGCCGACCCTTGTACTCGTGGGCTGGCCTTCGGGCCATGCTCAGGCAATTTGCTCTGTTCTCTTCGGAATACATGTGTGCAGCCTCACTTACTGCTCTCTTTCACTATATGGGAAGCCTCGGGACGCTACACTAATATCTTCATTTACGTGGTAAGAAGTCTCAGATTACTACAATGTGGCATGAAAATATTTCTCCATTATCTAAGCCTTATTTTTAGGGTAACTGAAAAGCAGACATATGCTCAGAAATAACAGTTGCATTGGAGATAAATATAAAGAAGACATAAAATCAACGATATCCCGTAGCGAAAACATCACGGATAAATAGACGGCAGAGTGACGAATTAATGAAGGACGATCTCAGCCTTCTGGCATCACTCAATCTGAATGCGCACATATGTGGCGTAATGATAATCTGTCGTAGCAAACATTCTTTAAGAAGAATTAGCGTAACCGTCAAAATATTAGGATCTTCCATTTATCATAAAACATGATACAAAAGCAGTGTATTATCAATAGCTATACCATCATGATCGTTCCCTATGAAAACGATCCGTATATTGACGTGAACTAAAGGAGGCGCACGCTTGGATAGGTTGGCTATTCGTGCGGAACTTAGCATATGACTGCACGGAAGCAGAGTTGCTGGACCTCTTCTCTTCATGTGGTGGGTTTGACGAATTTTATTGACATTGCTTTATGCTCAGGCACCGTGAGTGAGATTCATCTGAGTTTTGATGTGCGGTTGCAGCGTGGCAAGGGTTTCGCCTTTGTAACGTACCTGTTTCCGGATGAGGCGTTGGTGGTCTTCAATAAATTGGACAAGTCCAAATTTAAGGTGAGCAATAGTGTTGAAGGACGGTTGATGTCTAAGTGAGTGTGTGTTGTGTAGAATCGTTTGCTGCACATTTTGCCGGGAAGACCGAGGGAAGTGGAGGA